TGGGCAATGGCTCGCTGAGTCTGTTAAATCATTTGGTTCTCTACAACCGTTGTATTGTTTATTGTTTTTTCACACTGAATAACTGTGCTCAAAAGAAATGTTGGGCTGTTTTAAAATCTTGGATAGCAATAAAAATGTCCAGTACCGTACATTCAGTCTTTGCTGTAATTTGAAGCTGCAGAGAGTGGTTCTAAATATGGACCCCTACATGGCACGGGACACACTGATGGGCTGAATATACATTTCCATTTTCCGGCTGTGAACATTTGATGCCTCAGAGCTTAGCCAGAGGTTTCAATCATCATCCCTGTAACTGTCACTTTAAACTGCATCGAATCTAAAAGGACCTTGACCCACTGTAGAGCTACATAGGATATCTACCCACCAAAATCAGGCTGGATTCCATAAATAGCAATGATACAGGCGTTTTCAATGGAGAACAAAACTGAAGTGACAAAGAAAAGTCTTCATATATTGCAGTGGTTTGAGTTTCTTGTCAGAACAACACCTCTGTTTTTTTTCTTTTTCGATTCAGGTAATGCTTCCGACATCACTCCAACGGTGTGGTGCAGCCCCACCAGGTGTCCTTGAGGAATCGTTGGTCATTAAAAAGAATGGGGTTGTAGGGAGAAAAGGGGTGGGTGTGTGTGTGTCATTACATAGAGGGTGCAGTTGGCAGCAATAGTGCTGACACTTCAGTCCTGCACTCTGCTCTCCACAGAGGAGAGTTATGGTCCCTTATCCCTGCGAGACATGTTAGAGGCATTTGGCACGGAAGTCATGCTTTCTATAGAATACTCGGGACCCACCTGTACAATCATGTGTAAGCATCTGCTGTATGTTTGTAGCAAGGGGAAGGAATACAAAAAAGCGAAGGGTTTTGCTTAGACGCATCTGTTCAGTCAGGACCACTGCCTGTTGATTCACTTCAGGCTTTAGATGCTTTTATAGTGTTCAGAGTTGGCAATTTTGCTTTAATAACCTTGTTGGTAATCAAAGCGACAGGAGATACACTTAGGAACAGATGGCTAGTAGTCTTGGTAAAATGATAGAGAATAGACAAAGCATCCAGTCAATTTGCAGAAGGAAGGCAATGATCTAATTCTCTGTCCTTTTCCTCAGTGCTCCCCATTTGGTTTGTTTTCTGTCTATCCCCCCCGTCCACTCTTTTCCCTCATCCCCAGAGCTGGAGAGAAAGGCAACTCTGCATTGCAGACACAGCAACAACCTCGGTTTGTCTGACCAATTAATGTTAGACAAGATATGAGTGGCAGAGCCAGCAGCCATTTGAAGGCAAAGACTCATTATAAGGTGAAGAGGTTCGCCTAAAGAGCTGAAGGAGAGGGAGCAGGATGAAAATGAAATATAGGTGCAGGGAGTAGAGGAAATGGAAGAGAGAGGGGCTGACTGAGGAGGAAGGAGTGATGTATGGAAATTTAACAGAGGGCTCCACGCATGGAAGAAATGCTTCACCTCCTCCACAGTCACTGGCCTGCCTGAGTCCTATCACTGCAGTTTTTATTACTCATCAGTTGGCTGAGATCCACCAGCTCCCCCAGCTCCCCCCGTTCCAGAGCCCCTCTCAGCAAAGCCCTGCTCAACCCCGGTGTGTGTTGCTGGGACAAATAGGCCTGGCCACCTGGAGGAGACATGGTAGGCGGTGGCAGAGGGACGGGGACCATCCCATGGCTGCTGAGGATGTATCCCTCCGGGGCAGGCCAACGCAAGGGCAGCGGCTCGCTGTATTCAATGGGGGCGCTGGGTGCTGAGACCACCCTCCGCCGCTCGGGGGAGTCCTGAGGGGTCATGGGGTAGACATATTCTCCCGCAGACTTCCTAACAGGGGCTCTAGGTGTCCCCTTGCCTCCTTTTTCTTGTTTGCTCAAGCAGACATAGTGCTGACGTGGTGTGTCATTCCCTCTTCCCTCACCGCCATGTCTTCCCCCTCCACCCTGCTGAAAGAGTCTAGTAGTCAGGTAGACAGAAGGGGGTATGCGGCAGGGAGAGCCCAGACCTACAGACCCTCCACCCAGGTATGTTTGGCTGGTATCCCATCCTCCGGAGTTGGAGTCAGACAGTCGGAGGCCTCTACGTTTCTGCTGTGGCGTGTGCTCCGGTGTAGGCAGGAACCCTGGGTCGAGCTCTCCCGACTTCACCCAGCCGTTGGGCATGACGAACAGGGTCTCTCCACCTTGGGAGCATGAACGCTCTCCGCCTCCCTGCCTTGTGACACTCAGCACAGAGCCAGCCATCCCACCTGAGTTACTCAGCAGGCCTCTGTCGCGCCGCTGGATGGAGGATTGGGAGCTGCTACCATGGCGACGGTTGGCAGGCTTGTGAGCCATGATCCAGCACACAGCAAGGCCAGAGAGTGCTGCTCCAATGGTGAAGGCCGAGACCGCAGATGCGACAAGGAGGTTGAGGGAAACAAGACTCTCTGGTTCAATCAACAAACTCTGTTGTAGAATACCTACAGAATTGAGACACGCAAATAAAAAAGAGCTATTTAGTGCAAATGACATCCTTAGGGTCCAGTCTAAAACTATTATCATAATCACACTACCACTACAATAACATTCTTTTGGTTATCATCACACTGAGCATTATAGAATTATTTTTGGAGAAAACTGAGGATAATCTTCTCTCTATTTTGTCGCAAAAACTACAGATTCAGTGAGTCCTGCACTTCTCATCAGTGCAGCACAGACCGCATCAGAAGATTCTTTCTTTCCATTTGCCTCGCCTGAGAATCTCTCCTCAGTGCATAACATTACCTCAGCCTTTCCACCCAACTCTAATCACTCCCATCTGCAGACACAGACTTGCCTCTGGCTCGGCTTCTTCAATGATTTCCTCACACGTTGAATGAGAGTCCATCAGGTTGGGTGTCTGGCACTACTTACCTCTAACAGGGCAAGTTTAAAGGAATGAGATAAACAGAGGATGCTTATATAGACTGTATGTAGCTGCAGGACAAAAGTCTAAGATCAGACCTAGGGGGCATTGACCTTGTTTTGTTATGTTTCGGAAACACTTAGCAACTGAATCCAAGCTAAGCTTCAAACCGGATCTCTGTGGTCCTGCTGCAGACATCAGAGCCTTTCTATGACACAATGTGACATTATACCAAAGCTATTTCATGGTTGCTCCCTTGCAACATCCTCAAAAATCCAGCTTTGACACACACAAAAAATAAATCTCAAAAGCCACAGGAAGATGGATTTACCCCTCTTACAGTCTGGCTTTGTCCACACCCGTTCCACATTATATCTAATTAAAATGTGTCAGACTGGAAGCATTCTCAGCTCATTATCTACTTGATTCAGGTTATTAACAGAACCAGGATGAGTGGAATTGATCCTGCTGTGCTGGGATTAGGAACAAAGGTGCGTTTTCTCATCCATCTTTTGATAAAGCAAGAACATAATGTTCAGTCACAAATAGATAGTTGAAGTGAAGAATTGAGCCACTAGATGGAGCACTTAATAACTTTACTATAAGGAGTCAGAAGTATCCCTGTTTTACTGCTGAAACCTACCATCACAGTCTCCTAGATGGGAGGTGGTGTTTCCATATTCCACATCTTGTTGAAAAGGGATTCTGGAGTCACAAAAAGAACATTATGAGCAACACGTTTGTCTTAGAGAAAAGGAAACACACTTCATTTATTAACTTTATATAACTATGACAATGTGAAATTAGATGTTTACAACCTTAAACAGCCTGATTTTTTTAATTTTTTTTATAGAAAAGAGATCCATTGTGGTATATGATGACAATCAAATACAATGTCATCAGGCCACAGTAAATAAAATCAATGTGGGACAAAGTAATGAATTATCCATTGTAATAGGATACGCTGCCGTGCTCATTATTGATCTTCTTCCTCAGCAGGGTCAAAGCATGGGTCAACAATGCAAGTGCAGATGCAAGCAAGTGCAGATGCATTAGACTGTACAGTTTAATGTTTTTATGCTTACAATATAAAATAAATTAAACATTTATACAGTTGTTAATTCTTAGCCTGAAATATTTATCACAACTTGTACATACTTGCATGGCTTGAATAATTATCTAATTGACTTAATTAACTTGGATCAGTTTTAAATAGCATTAAATTGACTTCTTATATATAAACAACTGTTTATTTTAAAATAAAGAGCCTTTGAGTAAATATCTGTTGTTACAGACATACTATAATGCAAACCTTCCGAAATCTATATGGACTGAAATTGGATTACATCCATAAACATTTGTTGTTTTGGAAAGTTTATGCTTTTATTGGCTTAGCTCTTCTTGGTCCATGTTTGTACATGAGTGGTGTCTTAAGCTCAGTGGTGCGCACCTCTGCTTCTGTTCTGGACAAAGCCTCTGATAGAGCTTTGGTTCCTTTAAATGTATTAACCTATTAACCTAGTACAGAGCTTCTCTTTTTAACTCTGTTTCTCAGCTAGAAAAGCCATTAACGGATGTACTGTTGCCATTAACTCTAAGCTCTCTTCTTTTCCAGATTGAAACTACTCACACATTGCTTCAGTTTTATTCTTTTTATTTCTGCTTTTTGTCCTTTTTATCACCAGCTGCCACAGCATATGGATTCCTATAGCGAACATGTTTCACCTCAAGGTTTCTCCCTGTTAAAAGGGACTTGTTCCTTTTCACTATCAATAGCACCATGCAGGCTCAGGAGGACAAACTGTTCCCTATACTCAGCTTTATTAGATAGTTTTCTACTAATCTGCAATTATATGATCAAAGCACTTTTAGTGTACAGTCAAAAATTTTAATCGTACAGTACTTTGTTCTTGAATTTAAATTATTTATACGATTAGATTATATTCGAATAAATTTGGTTGATATGACTTTAGTTGATTTAACTGGTTGTCTTTTAAATTGTAATTACACCTCATTGGTTATTATTTGTTATTATTTAAATAGGCAATATCCAATTAATACGCTCAGGAAAAAGTTTAAAATTTTATTCATATTATAAATGTTGCATGGATCAGAAGTACCTAATGATTAAGGAAAAAAATAAGATCCTAACCACCACTAAATATTTCAAGCATTTTGGTATCTGCATTTTCACGGTCTTAGGAAAATGATCACGGGTGACAAATTTGGGCTGAAAAAAACCAACAAAACATTCAGCAGTCTTCCTGTAGACATTACAGTCAGTCCACCTGCACAGATAATGAACCATTTAATGTGCTTTTTGAGTTTGTTTCCCTCACCTCGTCCCTGGTCTCAGAAATGAGCAGGTACTGCCTCTGGTCCACCCACAGTATGGATCTCTTGAGGCAAGACAGCTCCTGAGTTTTCACAGAAATATGTTGAAAATTAGTTAGCAAACACTGAATGCTGAACAATTAGGAAGCAGGTCAAAAATTGATGAAAGATTTACATGGTAGTGGTTGAAAGGCATCAGTGCTAATAAATAAAAAACCCTGCAGCCCTGAGGGGCATTCATACAAAAGGTTAGATTTCTTTAAGATTATTATAAAAGCTGTAAAATAATAACTGTAGCCAATCTTTATGCAGCGAGGAGCACATATTGCATCCAATAGATCTTCGCTCAACATTATACAAATATGATATATGCTCACTGTGGAAAAGCTCAGCACTGTGCCCTACTTTCACAAATTCCTTCTATGTATTCATACTCAGCCATCATCCCACTAAAGCCTCTCACTTCCAGGCAAATATTATTTCTTAGAGAAAACCAACACTAGTAGAATAAACAATAAACCAAAGTAGCTGCAATGTGACAAACACATATTGTTTCCCTTATCTGCTGACTTGAACAAAAACAGAAATATATATATATATATATATATATATATTTCTGT